AATTGAGCTTTTCCTCTCATTAAACACACACACACACACACACACACACACACACACCACCTACCTCCCTGGATTCTTCTTCACAATGTAACACAACTTTTTCCCTTTGCCACCAAACTTCCTAATAAAGCCCACACTAGTCCTCCTCCATGTACTTCTGCGGTCCAGAGCAGCAGCAGGAACTAGCTTCTTCATCCATCTGTTGATTGGCATAGATAGCCTGGGTCTTTCTGTCTCCTACTCTCACTGTCTTTCTTTCTCTCTTCATTTTGGCTCCATTTTCTTCTCACATTCAACTATTTAATCCACCGTATATATCACAGCCCAAATCCTGGACAGAGTTGGTTTAAGTGGCGAATTATTATCTTTGCTTTGAACAGACCTCCTCAGAGGTCACTTGCCATCCTATATAACAGGCCACTCCTACATGGTTAGCCTCTGGCATGTTCTGCACAAGTCAACCTAGCATGGCTTCCTTGTGTAGAAGCTGAGGCAGAAACAGTTTTTAAAAAAATACATTTTATTGATTTTTTACAGAGGGGGAAGGGAGAGAGACAGAGTTAGAAACATCGATGAGAGAGAAACATTGACCAGCTGCCTCCTGCACACCCGCTACTGGGGATGTGCCCGCAACCAATGTACATGCCCTTGACTGGAATCGAACCTGGGACCTTTCAGTCCACAGACCGACGCTCTATCCACTGAGCCAAACTACAAGAAAAACCAGGAATAGGCACTGCGATGCATATGTCCAGGACATGCCCTGTTAGCACTAAAGTATCAACAAATTCCCTGATCACGAAGCCTTCACTGCTTTCTTCCCAACTCCTGAGGGCTTTCCCTAGAGCTCTCTCTGTCCAGCTCTGATGCCCACTCAAGGGTTTTGGGTTTCAAGGAGGCTAGGCCAGAGCTCACTAAAGGGAAAAAAAAAAACATGGCAAAGTAAGGCAATGTTGGTGGAACTTTGAATCCTGGCCTTCTTCATGGCTTCTGCTACTGTTTCCTTCTCAGAGAGCTGGACCATACATTCTATCCAGGTGTGAATGCCTCCTCTTTTGCCTTACCTTAAGGCACCCTGTGACTTGGGCATTTAAGAAAGGGCTCCATCCACCCACCCCAACCCCTAGTCATCCATCCACGTATTCTATGAATGTGCATTGATCTGCTATGTTCCACAAACTGTGAGGATGGGGGGAAAAAAAGAGCCCATCTTGAAGGTGCTTGAATACAACACCCCGGTTTTCTCTCCTCTCTGCTGGTGCTCACAGTAGGTCTATACCACATGTGTCAAACACAAGGCCCACGGGCCAAATTCGTCCCGCCAGGCCTTGCAATGTGGCCCGCACCGCGCTGTCATCACTGCACTCCGCTGCGTTTCCATCACAATGACAGTTTATGACTGTTCAGTAAACCATTCGGCCCATGATTTAGGCTGGATTTTAGATTTTGGCCCCTTCTCTGATTGAGTTCGACACCCCTAGTCTATACAGTGTGAGTGGGCCTGGTTGCTTCTTTGAGAAGGCAGGTCTGCATGTGAGCTCGAGACCATCCTCACTGTGAGCCCTGTGGGTGCGGCTGCAGGCTTTGGAAAGAGTCATGGTTTCAAACACACAGGTTTGTGGTTTTTTAAAGACCAGAAAGCAAAAAGCAAAACATCTTTCTGCTTACTTTCTGCTGAAGACCAATTGATGCGACATCTGAAAATAACCAAATAAGTGTCTTGATTTCAGCCTGCAAATGACTTTGTGAAACTTTGGGAGGAAATTCTCCACTTAAGAAAAAAATAAGAAAAATTGAAATTGAGATCACTAGGAAGAACAAAGATGGGGAATTAGGAGAGTGCTTTGAATTGTTAATAGTATTTATATCTGTAAAGACGACTCTCTCTAAAAACCTGGAAGTGGCCTAATCACTTTAAATCACCTCACACAGCCCATGCCCCAAACCCTAATAACCTCCAAATTCAATTGCTTATGACCACCTATTGGAGCATTCCAAAAGCTTGAAGCTGCTACACAGAGAACAGAACTCTGGATTTAAAATTATTGAAGCCTTTGCTTTTTTTTTTTTTTTTTTTTTCCCCTGTGAGCTCCTACATTTGGAGAGAAGTCAAGGTACATTCCAACCCCAGAGGATCCAAATGTATTGAACCGATTTTTTTTTTTTCTTACAAATGTTATCAGCCAAGAAAAGAGAAGTTGAACTGAACAATAGGATGAAGAGAGAGAAGAAGGGCAAAGAGCTGAAGAAGGCAAAAATGACTCAAAGCAGAAGCTGCGCCTGTACCTGGACATGCTGGCTAAGGTAAGACACATTTCGGCGCCGTGGAGAGGATGGTCTCAGGCAAAGACAATTAAGCATCAAACACCCAGGCTCAGCCTCGGCACGCCTGGAGGAAAGAGAAGCCCCGCTCTAGCTTCAGGGGCTGAGGGGTGACTTAGCGTTCCCACAGCGTTTCATTAATGCACAAGCGAGCGTTACTGACATCCCGCGAGGGTGACAGACAATTGTGCTCTGTGAACTGCTGGTTTCTAATGGTGCATCTGAGCTTTGTTTTTTACAGCTGCCCTTGTCTTACTGCTTTACTTTTCCCTCCTTGGGGTCTAATGGTTTCTAGTTACATGTCAGCATTTGAGCGGCACGCCGCCCTCCAGGCAGCACATGGCTTCTGGTGGGGATGGCGTTTGGGTCACCCCTGGTTCTCGGGAAGGACAAGGGCTCCTGCGAAGAGCACAAGGAACTCCCTCGTCCGCCTGAATGGCAGCGGTGGTGCAGGTTCCGGGTGCGCACTAGACATGGAACCAAATGCCTTTTGCAAACAGCAGCTCAATGAGGATTCCTGCCATGAGCAAACTGCTTGGAAAGTTACTCTGCGCTGGCATCACGGGGCCCGGGGTCGGCATGCTGAAATTGGGACTCATTATGCTCCTAGCATGCCAGCTCGGTGCAATTAGCCTCGCAAGGTAATTTCCCGAAGCCATATGCCGATCTTTAGGGGAGGGAGGGCTTCCTAGGCCTGATGGCTCTGAGTTCTGACGGGCAGGTCCCAGCTTGGAGCAAATGTCTGTAAATCAAGATAGCACGGAGGAGGAGGACAGCGGCCCGCGGAGAAGCAGGAAGCAGAACAGGGCTGAGTGCTTGCTGACTATGGCAGCGAGTGGGTTTCTCTTTCTTTCTTTTTTCCTCCCAAAAAGGTTTCAGGGAAAGGTCAAGGGAGCATCACTGTGCAGTCCCTCTGCCCCACCCCCGAAATAAAAATCAATGGAGGGACCTAGAACACAGTAAGTTATGTTCCAGGGCCGTGCGGCCTGGATTCCCATCAGACGCCTATCAATGTGAACTAGCACTGTTGGGAAATCTCTCAGCCGCTCCGTTAATCAATACCTCTGTTCATTATGCCTCTCTGATGAATATGGGTAATGATTGGGGTGCCCGAGAGTCAGGTGACTAAAAATAACCGCGGCTGGCTGAGGATGGATAGATTCCCCCAGCATCACTTCAGGCAACTCAATGCCTGGCCGCCCTCCCAAACCCCCTCACAGCGCCATCCTCTCTGGTCTCCATCGACAGAGCAGGTTTATTAAATTAGTGGCACTTAATCTACTGTCACACTGGCAACTGACTCTGGGCAAACGAGCCGACGGCAGGTCTTCCGGCGATTCGGGAGGGCCACTGGCCACCACGAGGGCGGTCTGATTCGCTTTGTGCCCAGAGCTGTCTCCATGGAGCCTCCTTCCCAAACAGGGGGGGGTCCCACCATTCAATAGCAAGTGAAACACGTCTTTAGAAAGAGCCATTTGGGGGAGGGCTCCTGCCAACGTTAGGACAGACGAAGAGATCATAGTCACGCCCGGGCTTCCTGCAGGACTATGCTCAGGCATCCCTGACATTCAATCACCAGGTGCCTCCACTTCTTCAAAGTTGTTTAAATGTTTCATCTCTTCCTCCTAACCCTGAAACCTGCCTACAGGTCCTCAAAGGAAAGGAAGGAGATCAGGGTAAGGCGTGGGGGCTGGCATCCCTGTTGTCTGGAGAGGGACCCTCGGGCAGTGGCATCGGAAGCTGGCTGGACAGCTCCTTGCTGTGGGCCTGGCAGCCGGGCAGGTACACACAGCCTGTCCAGCTGCTTACCGGCCAGAGGCCTGGGCCGGGGGTTGCTATAGAGTGAGGGTAGCTCCCGTCCCTGGTTACAGGTTGGAGGACGTTGGAGAAGTGGGTGATGCAAACTGAGGGCATTTGGACCAATCTGGCTCCAGGGATGAAGAGAAAATACGAAATTGCAAGAAAGAGGACCTATTGTATAATCTCCCTTCCAATCTTCAGCTAGGATTGGTTTAAGAGGTGGGCGAACTCTTCCCCGCTGTCCCGCAAGCAGGAAGACAGGAGGAAATGTCGCCGGTTATGACATCTCCCCATTGGCTAGTTTTATTCTTAGATTATAACGAGCAAAATCCACAGAAAACCGCTGCCAAGAGAATATAAACCGAAACACAGCACTGAGTCTGAAAAATATACATATAATCATTGTCCTGTGGCTGCTGTCCACATGTCACAGGGTGGGAAGTGGGGAGGAGGCCTATTTGCAGAAAGCTGAGGTGCAAAGGTACCCAAGCTCTTCCCTGGTCTTCCTTTCCTTAACAGAGTGTGGACAAAGGCTCCGGGAGAGGGGTTCTGGGGAGACACAGAACAGGCAGCCCCAAAGGATCATCTGGCGAGGAAGGACTCAGGTCGGTGTTTGCAGGGCGCCATCGGGACTGGCTGGGATGGGTGTAGCCCTGAATCAGAGTTGCCTTCTGAGCAAGAGAGACGTTTGATATTTCTAAGAAGTATATGAAATAAACCAGAATTTAGTCCCCATAGTGGATTGACTCTGAACTTCCCAGCAAGCGTATTTTCATAGGTAAATTACCATGTGAGCTGACGTGTTCCCAGGTGTATTTTGTAAAGGTCTCTTGGGAGTTTGTTGAGGTTTCTTCAAATCAAGAAGGTACAAAGAGATCAGTGACTGATAAATCTTTAATATAAAAATTGTACAAGAATTTTGATACAAATTACAAGAGGTATTTGGACAAAATATGAATAAAATTCCATTTACATCCCCAAACCCTTATGCATTTTATGCAAAAGACATACCGTAGACAGTTATAGTACAGAAAATACAACAAAGGAAGTAGCAAATAAAAACTTTTAATTCCCTTAGACTACTGATAAAAAAACAAAAACAAAACAAAAACCCTTGTTCAAGGTACAGACAGTATTTATGATGCTACCGACGTCATGACGATGCGACCAGGGAAATGAGCGGTCCCCATCCCTCGGTGCCGCCACCTCTCATGGTGCAGACTCTGGTGCCCCCACAAGCTTAGCAGGTGAGACCGGTCTGATGCAGATGAGCATGACACAAAAACAAAAAAAAGCAGAAACCCCCAAACTCTGGGGGAGGGAGGAGACATATCTTGGTGAAAACTCCTTTTTCCTCAAGATATTTCCGTTCCCTTTGGCCACCTCTGCTGTCCAATGTGCAGGCTGGATCAAATGTTTCTGTCACGGAGACAGGCCAGTGCGGGTGGGGCGGGAAGAAAGGTGAGTGTCCTCCCACCTGGGTGAGGGAGGTCGCTAGTTCTGAAAGGACCCCCACCCGTGATGAGCAGAGAAAACAGACAGCTTTCTTCCCCACAGCTCCAGCTCCCTTCCACCTCGGAGGAAAGGCCCAGACACCACAGACAGAAGCTTCCTGGTGTCTCCCTTCTCCCCCCCATTGACCCTTACCTCCTCTCATTGGAGTTCTCCCGCACTTTTCACACTGGCATTGGTAGGAAAATGCTATGGTTTCTCTGCAGGGCCCCTGAACCAAAGTTTGCACAGGAAAGCAAGTGCACCATATATTATAACTCTTCCGTATTGGGTAATATATAATCTTATTAACTTAATTCGCCTTCTGTAAACCCTGGGCAGGGTAGAACACAAATGTTTCCAAAGCAATCAGCATCGGGATGAAGGCGTGTTCCACCTTCCGGCTTCAGAAAAGATTTTTTTTTTTAAGGGGGTGGGTGAGCTCAAAAGAGCAAAGGGTGCAGCGGAAAGATAATGCAAAGGTCAGGGGAGATTAAGATAGGCAATGAGAGGAATGGGTTACTCTGTACAAAGACATGCAAAACTGCTCCAAATGGAGTACCAGGCGAAGGAAAAACAATCAGCCTTGGTGTGTACATCTTAAGTGAACTGATGAACTCAGCACATCGTCTGGGAGTTCAAGAGCATTGCACCTCATGAATCAATGCTTCTCCCGGCGGCGGTGGCACCGATTCTCTGGCGGGCAGGAATGCTCTGTCTCCCCCCAAGGGGAAGGCAGGCAGCCAGGCTCCCACCGAAACAAGGGCCAGGTCAGGGCACCATGCAGGGGCCTACCAAGAGGCCTCCCTACCCTTCCCCACCCTGTTTTTTGGAAAATGATGAATGGACCTCTCACATCTCCAGGGTCTCCCGAGTCACCTCAATCCTAGAGTTCCCTAACAGACGTGGGCAGAGCTGGGTAATAATGGATTGATTTGCCATCTGCCATCTTCCTTGTGCATTATTTCAACATCACATTTGGCAACAGGAAGCCTTATAAAGTCTTGGTATAGCACTTAGATACTCTCTTCAAGAAATATATTTTTATACTATCTATGTCTCTCCATTTCTGTTAAAATACCTTTATCGGTTTTTCCTTCTCTTCAAGGGTTCTTTAAGAAAAAAAAGAAGCTAAAAAAAAAGCATTAAAAAACTTAGAAATGTCCGTAAGCATCCCTGTTATTCAAAGGGAGCAATGCTGCTATTTAGCAGAATCTGTGCAATTTTGGCAACTGATTTTTAATGGAAGATTCTAATACGGTGTTTGAGAAACGATTATAACATACACATCCTAGAGAAACTTAAAAAACATCTCAGGCCAATTACTGTTCTCTGACACTGAGATTCCTTGCTCAAAGTGCTTTCTTCCCAGTGCCCAGACTGGTTCATGAACCTGCTCAGCACAGGTTGGTCCAATCAGACCTGTGAAGGTGTCTACCTCTAAATATGCTTCGTTTCTCTCTTGCCATAAGTTCACATCAAAGACACCTACATGTGTCTTACTCGGTTGACAAAAATATTTGCAATGTGACTGTAGCAGCCGGGTCAACAGCATCTGCCAGACTGGCTATGGGGGAGCTGGAAGGAAGTGTGGGGTCCCCAAGCTCCATATCGAAGGTCACAAATACACCTTGCACTTAATTTAGCCACTAATCAGCCATGTGTCAACCATCCTCTGTGTAGTTCAGTATGCAGAAGTAGCAGCCAATACAATGCCTACAGGTTACTTGGGCTCAAGGTATTTTGGAATATAACATTTCCATGTGTTTTTCCTCAGTACCTTTTGTCCCCTTGTCACTTGATTTTTGTAAAGCTCATTGTACTTATACTTGCAAAAATTCTCCCAAAGTGGGGAATTTAACTTTTAGGAATAGGGTAGTCTCTGTTTTAGTGATTAGACTAAAACCCCCATGCCTTTTATTTATTTTAGATTGTCAATCCAGTTTTTAAAAAATGAAGGTTAATCTGCCATGTCACACTATCACACTATGGGTTTGGAGGTTTTCATTGAGAGATACATCTATATATGTTAAACACTGTTTGGATGCCAACGCTAAAAAAGCAAGTGCTTTTCTTTACCACCACGCACAACCATTTGCTTAAAATGTGAACTTTCTGAAGGGGAAGAAATATATTGTAAGGCTTCCCTTGTGGGAAATCACAGGGCCATGCCCAGTTCTCCCCAAATGGATGGGTGTGCAGTTGCAATATTCAAGTTCCAAAGATGCAAAGCATGCTGTCATAGCCAGCATCTCTCTACTGGCCCTTTATTTCAGAAGTCATGATGGCTGGAGAGGGCATCTAGAGGCAGCCCTGGGCTTACCAAAGATGCAGTTTTGTGCTACGGATCTAAGTGGTGGGAGGGGAGAGAGAGGTGGCGGAGAGGGTGGGTGAGAGAGAGCAAGAAAGAGAGAGCGAGAGAGAGCGAGAGCGAGCGAGAGTGAGAGAGAGAGAGACTGATAGTGTGTACCTCAGGGAACTAAGTGGGAAAGCCTAGCCCTTGTACTCAATTTCCCCTTCACAAGGGATAAACAGGCAATTACGCATCCTTTTATATTTGATGGCCAAGTGCTGAACTGGAAAGCACACTATTAGTTTGTGTCCCTTCAGGGCCAGGGCAGTAAGTAGCCAGGGGAGCTGGGGCTGGAGCGGAGAGGGTGTTGTCTGCTGTTAGTGTGACAGTCTTGTCAGCAGCGTTCACATTACTGGAAGGTAATAAAGTGACAAGTAAGTTATTAGAAAGATATGAGGTGAAATTGAACCGAAGCTTCTCTCTGCTCAGCCAAGGCTTTCCCCTTCCTCCTTTGTAATGGTCCATTATTTGTTACAAACCGAACCTTGTCTGGAGAGTCTGTATAGAAAATATTTTTTCCCCCCGTAAAGGTCAAATGAATTTACAACAATGCTTTAGAGAAGAAGAATAAAGATAGTTTTATGACAACTATAGTACGTTGCTTCAAAATATATATATAGCATCATAATGAACAATAACGCTGATCCAATTCAGTGTACTTGTAAAAATGCCTCGTTTGTAACTCCCTGTTATTAGGCATTTGGATTTTTCAACAAATGCCAAAAAGACAGTACTGATGTCCAGCTATTGCTGAATGACCACGTGATTCTGTGCAAGATGTGAGAAGGATGACATAGCCCTGGGATGGATGGGTGTCTGGGCAAGAGCGATGGTACATGAATGCGCTGCTCACTTCTAGCTGGATTTATACAATTCTAATGGAAAGTGAGCATTTATGGTGAGCCACTCTCCAACTACAGGAATTATGACAATGAATCTAGGACGGATCAGATGTGGCCTTAATATTAGCACAAGTAAGACTACAACATGTAGTTCAGCTTTGCCGGATGACGTGAAGACAGAGAAGCTAGCTGGATGTTTTGCAGGAAGGTAAATGAGCTCACATTTTGATCAAGAGAACTTTAGCCAAGTAGCAATACAATCATAGCTATGGGGGCGAGCAAAAGCAGCGATGGAAAAGAACAGATCCCGCTGGCTACCACTCACTTCTTCTCATCACAGCCAGCGCAAGGCTTGACCACCGGCCATTACTATAACCTAGGTCAGTGGTTGGCAAACTCATTAGTCAACAGAGCCAAATATCAATGGTACAACCACTGAAATTGCTTTTGAGAGCTGAAAACTGACTTTTGCACATGGGCCACAAAGTTTCAATCACACTGTACGTGTGCGCCCGCACGTGGTATTTTGTGGAAGAGCCACACTCAAGCCACAGTTTGCTGACCACTGACCTAGGTGGACCCATAGCATCCTTTTGCTTCCTAAGGGACTCTCGCATCACTTCACATTAAAAAAAAAAAAAAAAAAGAAGAAGAAAAAAAAACCTGCATGATTGCCTTGTTGGCTCTCATGGCCCTAAGGACCTTGAGCTGTCCCAGGCAGGGCGCAGCATCAGCACAACCCCAGCCACTGCGAGGCAGATTGCACCACACTTGCACACACACTTTCAGTGCATTTACTGTTTCTTTTTCAGCTCCCCTCAAGCAGGGTGGGCGCCTCCCCTCCTCAGTGTGTCTCACTCACTGGGCCTCTAGTTTTCTTCCAGTCTCCGTGGCACCTGCCTTTTCTTGTCCTCCTTACTTGTGGAGACTCTCCCCATTAAAAAAAAAAAAAAAAGTAACACAAAGAATTGAGAAGGAAAAAAACAAAATCCTTTAATAAATATTCTGAGTTCGGGGGAATATGTGTTATTATTATTTTTTTAAAATGAAATTTGTTAGTCGGAATTTTAAAAAGGGAGTTCTTGAGAAAAGGAGTGTGTTGATAGAAAGAATGTAAGGTTTTTCTGGGTGATTTCTTTCTTTACGAGAGCAGATGTAGCGTGTCTTATTACAGTTGAATTTTATTTACTCTGTTAGTCAATCTAACTCAACACTAACAGTCTACGTACAAGTTAGGACTGCTCAGGTCAACTGTTAGCAGTTAGCAGCACGTCCGTCTCAATCTGGTTACCGGCTTCTTTATGTTCTAATTGCCAAGGGCTCCCCTTCTCATTTGCTTGGCACACATCTGGGGTGTGTACAGAGAGGATGGGGAACAAAAGGTCACATTTATTTTATTTGGTGAGAACCTAATGCATGGTTTCTCCTGAGTAAAATGAGGAGAATGCCTCTGGAACAGCCAATTCTTGGTATAGTCTTTCTTTCTTTCTTTTTTTTTTTTTTAAAGAGCAATGTACACACTAACAGGGCTGTTAACTAGTTAAGTGCCATTGGCCTCTTACGGAAAGGGCCTGGAAATTCACAATCAAAGGAATCATATACTACAAAGTCAGTGGCACCCTTGTATTAAAAATGTTTTCAAAAACAGATGTTTATCATAGCCAGAAGGAAAATATTAACACCTGTAAACCTGTAAAAGGTGTCAGGATGAACGGGGTGGCTGGACTACGACCTGAAATGCATTACATTGGGTTGAATTATTTCAATACAATTGATGGCAGAACAGTGTGTCAAACTTTTTATCACGTTTTAAAAACCAAATTACTTATTGCCTATCCCTTTTCCTGCTCTTTGTCATCCCCCTCCACAGCATGCAGATAGTCCCTAAAGTAGAATAAGCGTTTCTGGTATTTACAAAAGTGTAGTTTAAAACAATCAGAATAGGAATTTAAGCATCGCCTACTGAACATGCACATTCATAATACTTCCTAATTTTGTACCTGTGACAAAAGTCTGGTTAAAACCAATCAAACGGGGAAAGGCCGCTTGGATGAAAACCAGCGTCACTATTCATTTTCAGCCAGCACAGAATGGATGCAGCTAGAGAGAAATCATTGCACAGCAGGAATCTCCTGTGAAAAAGCAAATGAGTAGGAATGGGCAAAGATGAAGGGCTCAATGATTAATATGCTGATCTCTCTATCCTTTCTGCTTGCAAAAAAGCCTTGGGATCACCTCTTACCTAGACTTATAGGTGAGTTAAAACATTGCACGCAGGCACACACCCTAAACAAGCAACACTTCAGGACTAAACAGTATGTTTCATGATTGTACCTGTTATTTATGTACCACTTCTGTCCACTCCCCCTGTCCCTTTTAGGCAAATCGGCTTTGCATTGGAAAATGTGATTCACCCATTTAGAAGGCCACCATTCCATATGGGCATTGGAGGCACAAAAGCAGTAGCAATTTGGGAAGATATTTAAGCAGGGTGAGTTCTCCAGAATTCATTGCCATATCTCTGACAAAATGTCGTGGAGCTCTTTCATGTTCCCGAGCAAGGGAATTCCTACTTTGGGAATCTTGCTGCATCTAGACTTGTTCTACCTGGCTATTCACCTTAGTCCGATTGTGGCAAGGAACACACATTAGTTCTAAGCCTGGTTCATTTGCTGGCAGCTCTGTAATTCACTCATTAGGGCTATCTGACCTTTCCGTTGACATTAAATTAAACAGACTAAACATTGATTCTGTACAACAGGATGAGTTCAAACAGCTCAACCAAGAGTGTACCTTTAAAAAAAATCGCTGAAATAAAATGTGTTATTTGCATAAAACGGGGTATAATTCTGCCTACACACACTCCAAAATAAGCTAGTGTTTCTGTGAGCTCCTGTTGTGATGCTAAAAACACCCCCCCCCCCCATCCTTTTGAACGGAATCACTTGGTCAAATGGGTCAACAGCGCAACACAGAGAACGCTAAGAGGACCAACATGTTTGCAAACAAACTTTCATTATTCTAGTTCAATCTTTCACAAACATACTGTACAGAGTCTAATATGGTATAAAACAAAAGGAAACATCTCCGTCTATTCCATTTAACACAACACCAAAATAAAGCCATTAGGATTTTGGGGAATCCAAAGATACAAGAAAACAACAACAGTTATTACTAATTCCTCAGCTTTTTACCGTAAACATTTGTCATTTAAGAGACATAGTGTTTAGTAAGATTTCTTTTGTACTGCAAATAATTTTGGTCTTTCCTCGCTGCGGAACAAATGAAGAACTAAATGAACCCCATGGCATCCTGGGAAGGAGATGAAAAGATAAAGCTCGCAGACAAGTCTAGCTTATCTCTAAGAAGCTATTGTTTCTGAACTTTTCACAAATAAAAATACTGTATCCACAACTAATGATGCTTATTTTTTTTTTTTTGGAAACAATAAATACTGTGAGGTACAATAAATCCTATAGGAATAATAACAACAGAAACATATCAACAGTTTCCTTTGGCAAATTTAACGGAAGTGAATGCTGATGGTGAACATAGAAAAAATAATTACAAAACATATGAAAAATGGAAATGAAATGCAAAGTTAAAACAAAGGGGTAGGTATTTCTAACATTTAGATTGATGAGAAATGTTTGAGGCCATTAAATGCAGAAAAGAAATACATTCTCTTGAAATTACTGTGTACTGTTTGACAAACTATTCCCTGTTTATCTTCCCCCACCCCTTCACTTAAGAAAAAAAAAAAAAAAAAAGACAACAAAACACAGTCTGCAATGCACACCCTAATGGCTTTGGCTGCAGACTGAACTTGAGTAAATATCATCATTTAGTCAGTATGTTGTGGTAGCCGAGGCTGCCGATGTGGTTAACCAGCTCAGGCAACATGTGTAAACATCAGAAACAAAACAAAACAGAACAAAACAAAACAGGTTTGGAGAATCATCTCCCCTCCACCTCCCCCCCACCCCGTCTTTCTCACTCTCAACTGCTTGGTTTTAGGCTTGTTTTCATTTCTCTGTGACAAATCGCGCAGGGAAACACAAAACACTAACCAGTGAGAGATCTCGTGTTAAACCCCCGTTCTCTGGCTTTTCAGAAGGGAGTGTTGCTCAATTCAAGTTCAGCACATGTTTTCAAAGCTTCCGAGTGCGGCTGCTGTTCAATGCCTTTTGATTTTGCCTATCAAAGGAGCCTGAATCACAGCAGTACTGAAGAACTTGCGACAAATCAGCCAGCCATACAACAGCCCAGCCCAGCTCCGACTCTCTCTTTCTTTTTAAAGGATACGGGTTAGGTCCTTGGAAATGTATGCTCAACTCGCCTACTGTATGCAGCTTTGTTCCATAGTGAGTAATTTGGGCTTTTGTATCCTGAAATATTATCCTGCCTCTAAAGAATAAATGCCTTGGCTGTTTCACACCACATAATTTTGTTTTCCTTTTATGTAACTTAACATATAAGCAAGAAGGATGCAATGTTGATTCTAATAACATTCGGCACTTGAAAGAATCACCAAGTGTTTTTTTTTTGTTTTTTTTTAGAGCGGTTTTCTGGTGGCCGACAAATTGGCCTGTGGTTATGTTGAGTGACTAATTGTATTTTCTTTTCTGGAAACTTGTGCAAAGTTGGCAGTTTTGTGTTAACATTAATACTTTTGTTTGGCATTTGTGCCCTATACTGACCAGACCATTCTTATGCAAGTGAAATTTTCTTTTTTCGTTAAAAAAAAAAAAAAAGACACTTATGTAAAGTATGGCAATAGTTTAAGGGTAAAAAAGAAGCATGGATATTACACATCCCCTTGTAGTGTATGAAAAAAGTGCATGATGGGGTTTATGTACTAGTACAGGACGTTTAAAAAATCAGATTTGTGCTGTAAAGCATGCCAGCACCTCTTTATCACTATATCTAGCAGGTAGTAAAAACAAGACCATGTTTTTTGTTTGTTTTTTTTTAAAAAAATGTGCATTAATGCTAACATAAATGAGTAGAGCTAGCCAGCAAACTATTTTTTTCCTGCGTTATCTAACAGCTGGTTGTAACTGTAAAAATTAAACAAAAAGAGTTAAACAACATCAATACAATTGTTTTACATCATTAGCCTCCCGAGGCTAAATATTTACAGGTGAATCTGCCATGCTGTAGTTGAAGATTCTCTCAAAACCTTAAAGTTCACAAAAGACAACTATTAAGAAGTTCCTTTTTTTTTTTTTAATCCCTTTTCTTTTCTTTTCTTTTCTTTTTTTCTTTTTTTGCAGGCAACAGTCATGGGTACAACAAACTGTCTCTTTGGAGAGGACCAAGAATTATCGTTCCATCAAAATGTGGGCTACTTGCACGCTTTGTGTGTGTGTGTGTGTGTGTGTGTGCGTGTGTGTGTGTGTGTGTCTTTAAAGGGTACTTAGTTTCTACCCCCCAAATGATATAACTTCCTTTTCCAGAATTATAAAGGAAAAAAAAATTCAAAAGCACTTAGTGTTATCATTTTTATATCTAAAGAAAAGAAAAGGTGTGTGTGTGTGTGTGTGTGTGTGTGTGTGTGTACAGGCGCAGAGACATCCATGTGTACACACACACACACACTAAGTACACAAGCACACACTGACTATGGCAGTTCAAACATGTAGGCCGTCTGGTGAGAGCTGGCATTGGTGGTGTCCGTCCCGAGACTAATCTACCGACACGAAGGGGATGTTCTTGTGGAGGTTCGGGTTCTGGCTGTGCCGGTTCCGGCTGCGCACGGAGGAGAACATCATGTTGCAGCCGGGGACCTTGCACTTGTGCATCTCCCGCAGGTGCACGGTCTTGTAGTGAACGCGCAGGGTCCCCTTGTTGCTGTACATCTTGTGGCAGATGTTGCACATGATCCCGCCGTTGCTCCCGGACAAGCTGTTGAACATCAGGGACCCCGGCACGTCGGCCCCGAGGCCGCCGGGCAGGGTGGGCGCCTCGGCCTTGTGCGCGGACTCCCCGCTGTCACTCGCCCCGTCAAGGTCGTCCAGGAGGATGCCCTCGTCGCTGCCCGCGTCGGACTCTCGGGAGGAGTGGATGCTGCTGCTGGACTGCAGGCTGGAGGTGGTGCTCAGGTCCAGGACCATGTAGTCCTCGGCCATGCCGCGCCCGTACCCGTTCAGGTGCGAGTCCTCGGTGCCCGCGGGGGACGAGGCCTCTTCCCGGACGTCCAGCCCCAGCGGGTGCTGGGCTCCGTAGATCTTCATCAAAAACTCATCCCGGAGGTCCTTGCTGAGCGAGGGCTGTGAGGAGTCCAGGCCCATGTCATCGAGTTCTTTGGTCAACAGTTTCCGATGCAGATTTATGTTGGCACTGTGTCTAGGAAAACAAGAGGGAAGGGGGGGACAGGAGGGGTGGAGTGGGTGGGTAGCGGGTGGGAAGGGGGAGAAAAAGGAGAGCATTTTAAAATGGATTCATTCGGCTTCTCTCTAGGCATCCAATAAGCACATTCATTGCTAATTACACCATTATAAAAGCAAACATTTCCCCCACATCCTCAGGATTTGGGAATAAGTGGTGGTGGGAAGTGCAATAAGGGAGCTTTTCATTAACATAATTTTTTATAAGAGAGTAAAAATTCTTCAATGGTAGGGCGAATGTTGAACCCATGCGCCTTTTTCTCAATGATTGTTCTGTTTGCTTTGCTAGGTAGCAGCATCAGCGACAGACAATCTCATAGCAGAGGTTTTAGAACAGAAATTAAGTGGGATAAAAGAATGGGAGCTTTCTGCTTGTCAAAACGGAATATTTTAAATTTACCCAAAAACAGAAAACTTTTTTTTATACAGCAAACACTTTATTGAAAAAGGACCCATTTAAAAAATAGTATATTATCTACAAATTGAAATCTTGTCCCTCACCTTCCCACACTTCAAGTTTTAGGTAGGAAAAAAAATCAGCTGAGTACATTAGCAATTAGAAATAGGGTTACAGAATTTTTAACATAAATCCCGTTTCCCAGATTGATTTGGGATATCAGCTAAATCTAATAGTAAAACATTTTAGAATGAAAAAATTTCAGAAGTTGCTACATTTTGGAGTTGAAAAGTTTTCATTAAGCAATTCAACTTTTTAAACTTAATTATTATTTTTAAAGTTGAAAAGCAGATATACTGCTTTTTTGGAAAAGATAAAATCCACCCACCTTTAAAAAAACAACAACATTAAACAATAGGAAATCCAAAGGGACAAAAAGAACAAAATTCCCACAATAACTACAAAATCAATCAATCAATCAATCAATCAAGCATAATGATAACATATAGTCTCTATAGTATAACAGTGGAATCCATATTTCTTAGACAAGCAAAACTTTTCCTCCACTCACTGAGCGCTTTGCTTGTGTAAAAAAAGGTAGGATTTGTCCCAGAACATCCATAGGAATGCCATGACTTCCAGAGCCTGATATGTTGTTATCCATCTGAAAGCATCGCCTCTGTGGTTACATCCCCCGTTTATTTTCCGAGTGCCCTTGGGCATATACCTCTCTCCACCTGCCAAGGCTCACATGCTTCACAGGTACCTAAATGGAGGACTACCCTCCCAGAAGACAAACCGGTAAGCAAATGACAGATACATGGGAGCTTCTCAACGATGGCAGAAGCTCTAGGTCTTGGAGAAGTCATTGCGATAATCAAAATGGCCCAAAATAGCCAGCATCAAGTTCAACAGATCTCCTTAATTATTAAGTAGGAAGTATGGAAGACCCAAGCGAGTCACTCCGTTTGGCGAGAGCATGGCTAATACATATTTTTTAAGAGGTGGTTGAGAGGTATGTGCCTCAGAGACAAGAAAGGTGAGAAAGACTTCCCCACCTTTCCTCACAAGACAATAAATATATATCGGACTCTGGGTTTGAAGGGGGAGCGGGGCACAGCCCCCTCCCTCCACACTGCACTTAGGAAGGCTGAGCTTACCTTGTGACAATAAGATCAGCTTTCTAATCTTTTGCTAAATCGATCACAAAAGAAAGCAAGAATGAGAGACAGAGAGAGAGAGAGAAAGAGAGAGAAAGAGAGAGAGAGAGAGAGAGAAAACAAATTCACATTCTAGACATCTGGTTTAAAAAAAAAACTTAAACAGTAATACAGAGATTTAAAATGTTCTGATCACAAAATCATTTTCTGTCATAAGCGATCATCACATATGCTGTCTTGATGATTTTTAGATCAGCTGCATAATCCAAAAATCATAAATCAAATTAAGATAAAACAAATTCACAGCATCAGCGTCATCCATAAATGAGTTCCACACAGGTGCATGCAGGGTGCAGATAGGTGAATGATAAACAGAAGTTGTCCCCCAGGGCCCCTGCTCTGACACAGTCTCCCCGTTTCTTGGTGTCAGATGGCAGATAATCTGTCCATGTGCAGGTTGCTAAGCAGAGTGCAGGAAATGCCTACTGCGACATATGGGCATGACACCACCAGAGTTATTACAACAACGTGGAAATAGAGTTACACTTTGCACTATTACTCTGCTGATAAAACAATCTGCCAGCTATAAGCAGCTCATGGAATCCTACACTTCTCTGTTTATTATCTTGTTTATTATCTTGAACACCCTCCCCTGCTTTCTTAATTTCACAAGGACGCATTTTGCAAATGACTGCAATCTAGAACTCTGTGCTGCTTCTCAGACATCTGCAGTGACCACTTCCTAGATTCACTGCTGAGAACACTGTTGTCACATAAAGAAACTCTGAATGAGGAAGAATAAATTAACATTGACAAAAGGACACACTGATCACCCAGATGGACATATCTTTTCTAAAATGACTTGTGAAATTGCACCTCTCCACTGATACGTTACCAGGAAGAGATGTTTCTCCTCATTTCTCACTTACAGCAATAGAAACCTGTAATCTAATTAGACCATGTACCAGCCCTCAATATCTGTCATCCAAACGATGTGCAGAAATGTGTAGACCCACTCTGGCACTCGGCTCAACAGTGTCCCTTTTCCGCTGTCAGCAGTACTGTTGGCCTCTGCTAATATAATTACATTGACTTTTATTCAATTAAGTGCTATCCTTCGCTTAAAAAAAAAGCTACTTTATCAATTGATTCAGGTGTAATGCAATAATAAAGATGAACTCATGGCAGTGCATTAGCTCCACTGTTCGTAACTTCAGTACAGGGGTTCATTCATGGTAGTCGATTTCCATTACGCAACCGCAGCTCAAGGGAATTGATTCTTTTATGTTCATTTCTTAATTTATTCCATTTTTGTTTAATAATCCTCCTAAATGCCTTATGCAAAACACTTGAAGTGGGGACAGGAAGGATGGGCTGTGGCAAGCCTGCTAGCTGACTCTCATCATAGTGAGCTTTTGAGATTTTCTAACAAACTCGCACAGTATCGCTGGGGTAGTAAGAGGAAAAGCAGGAGAAGGAGAAAGACTTAGAATTCCTTAGAGTGCTGATCCTGCCCCTCCAGAGTTAGGTTCAGCCCCCAGAGAATGGACAAAAGGCAGCACTCGCTTTTAACAAAGACCTATTGTCAGACTCTGGCATCATCAATCCAAGCAATGAACTGTCACAAAATACTGTCCTGGTGAAGAGATGCAAAGACAACAGCAATTTTCAAGTTTATTTGGGTCAGAGAAGTGAAGAGGTAAACAGGAAGACGGAAGAGGCACAGGAAGAACTGGTGCTGTACACAGAGGATCCCCAAATGGGAGGAAAACCACAGAGCTCTGGACCTAGGAGGACCACCTTGTAGGGGAAGAGGAAGAGGAAGCCCTATGCAGCTGTATATAAGAAGTGGAAGAAGGAATCCATGAAGGAACCAATGTTGAGTTCTCTAGAAAGAGAGGTGGTTTATCTAGGAAATAGACTGTTTTGAATGTTTGTCTCCAGAAAGAAGGGAAATAATCATTAACAAAATTCCAGACTGTATTGGAACTTATATATTATAAGATTACAACAGTGTATAAAAGCTGTTTCTACTGCTTGCTTTGATTAGGTTGGCAATAGAGATATGCAGAGGCAAATTCCTCTCACAGGACAAAAAAAATAACTGGGGTAGAGAGAGAAGATGAGTTCATCAGCAGAAAGGATAAGGTTATGGTATTATTAGGGATCTGGTCTTAGCGAACACAGTAGTGCTTATTAAAAGAGTAGTCCAAAATTCAGCTCCAAGATGCTCACTTTCAAGAACAACACAAATTAAATCTGATTTGACCTCTCGTCTCTTGCAGTGGACTGCTTTGCACATGGGAGACACTGAAAAGTACATTTATTTGCTTTCAATCAATATTATGCATGAGTCTTAAGAAGCTTTCCCAAAAATGCACTGTAGGAAACAATGATCCCAAGGTTGGAAGCATGTAACAGAGGAATATTTAAGCAAGTACAATGGTAATACAGCAGAGGGTAATTCTGACCCCATTGATAACCCAGTGGTGTGGTGCCAGGAACTGCCATGTAATTAGGGCGTGAAGGAGTCCTATACTTGGGGCTATGCTTACAATTACAATGTTCCCTCCGGCCCTTTGCACGCTTTCCAACCCCTTCCATACTGCGAGCTTACCAAAACCTCCTGAAGACTAAGATCACCCTTAAAAGCAAAAAGTAACGAGGTCTATATTGTACAGGAGAGGTCATAATACCAAACTTATGTTTTGAACTGCTAAGTGGCAGTACTCTGACTGAAAGTAGACTATACATCTATGGTGTGTGTGTGTGTGTGTGTATACTAGTATGTATATATGGGGATAGAGAGGTACATTTACATCCAATCTGGAAAAATCTAGATGCTAGGTTGGAGTGTACTGTGGGATATTGAATCAACAATATTCCTGACTAGAAATGTATATCTGCTATCCAAAATTGCAGAAGAAAAATTAATTTTGCCCCCACTTAATTCTCTTCTTATCTGGCTTGGTATAACACTATCTGTTGTCCTTAACTGCTCAAAATTTTTATATTGCCATCTGTTAATGGCAGGATACTTACAGTCATGTGATAGTATGCATTTCTGCAAAAAACAAAACAAAAAACTAGTTGCGTTTTATAGGTTATTATTTAAAAATTCCCTCCATAAGATCTGAAAACCATTCCTAAGATTAGGAAAAAAAACTTCAATGTAAAATTCTAGTGAATAACATTTAAAAAATACATAAAGAAGTACATATTAAATGCGAGATGTAAAAAAATAAAAAAAGCTAAGCAAATTAAAAGTATGAAATCCAGTCACTTCCATCCCTTTCAATATAAAACAAATCATCCACACCGGTCACACAGACAGTTCCCACTACATTCAAATTATTCACTTGAAGATAAGCTCCCACCAAACTCTTCAGGGGGTTAGCTAAT